AAAAGTGCCCTGCAACATTTGGTTTGAAAAAAATTGAGATAAGAACTACTTTATAGACAGCAACGTGCATAATAACAACTTTCTTATATATTAATACAAAAAGAACCCAAGTTAAGAGATTTACCTCTGGAGTTCCAAGGACCCAGTCACGAATGTGATCACAAGCAGAACTAGCAGCGGAAAGAGCACTAGAAAGCTTTCTAGCCTTGATAATGGCAGCACCCCTCTGTTGTACAGTAGCAATGAACTCACTGTTCAACCTAAATACAGAGAATATAATTTATCAGTTAATCGGCAAAACTGAAGAAAAAAAATAGATAATCAATTTACAACAAGACACTGAGTCATTATACCATGCATCATCGGCCACAAGTTCACGGACTGGCTTATCTCCAGCTGGTGTTTTAACTGTTGCGTGGTTGACATCAGGATACTGTGATGATGAGTGGTTTCCCCAAATGATGACATTTTTAACATCACTCACTTGGACACTCAGTCTTTCCGAGATTTGGCCAAGGGCCCTGTTATGGTCCAACCGTGTGAGACAGGTAATGTTCTTCTCAGGAATGGATGGTGCAAATTCTTTCAAGATCAGTGCATTTGTATTGGCAGGGTTAGCAACAACCAACACCTGGAAGAAACACGAGGCAAAATTTTAAAACCACAAATGAAATTGAAGGTGCATAACATGCACATTGAAATCCTGAAAATGGTTCAATGATGCTTCCATTGACACAAACAGAAGGCAATAAATAACAAAGACATTAGAGTTTGTGGCAGAAAGGACATATCAAAGTAATACACAAGACATTAAAAGTTGGCTATAGACATCTCGTAACTATTCTCACTGACTTAATCAATTACCTCCACAGTCAAAATAGAAGAATAATCTAATCAAAAGCTGGAAGTATATCATGCAGCGCTGGACACTAGGTGCAATTTACAAGACGCAAAAGCTAAAAATTTAAAGGACTAACAAAGATCTATATACTTTTGCCTGACCTTGCAGTTGGGAGCTGCATACTTCTCAAGTGCAGAAGCCTGGGACTTGTAAATAGAAACATTCTTTGACATCACATCTTTCCTTTCCATGCCTTCTTTCCTGGGGAAACCTCCAACCATGACCGCAACGTTGACACCAGTGCATGCCTCGACAGCATCAGTTGTAGCAACAACACCTAACACATACATAGAAGAACACACCATTTAAACCAATTTAATTTACAAAAAGTGATAAAATGGCATAACATTAAGATTATAAGCAACTGCACCAACCCTTAAGAAGAGGGAAGGCAGCATCCACTAATTCCATCTTCACTCCATTCAGTGCCTCAGCAGCAGGTGGAATATCCAACATGTGGAGAATTACAGGCTGATCTGCGCCCAACATCACTCCCCTGGCAATCATAGGCACCAAGGCATATCCAATTTGTCCTGAAAACAAATCAACATTACCCTGTTAACATAACATTCCAACCAATTCATAATTTTGATACCAATAAAAGATTAATCTCAGAATAACATTTTTCCAACTATAGAAAAGAAAATGTAAAACCTCGAAACAGATTCCAAAGCCACTAACAAGCGAATCTTCATAATTATCTAGCTTAACTAACACATGTGAAGTTTATCCAAACCACGAATCCACAAATCTAAATCATGACATCACAGTTGCTAATACTACATGTTCGTTGTCAAAAAAATAAAAAAGGCATCAACTCAATCATGCTAATAACAACTAAATCTCAATCCTAAAGTAGTTAAACTTCTTTTTCCAATCAATAAATCAAATTAAAAGTATATCTCATACTAAATCAAAGCAAACAACAACAGAAAAGAACCGTCATCATTTTAATTGGTTGGAGTTACAAATCGGAGCAACAAAGATCTGAATCTCAACCTTGCAAGCTAATACGATTAATACTAACTGGTAAAACAACAAGTACATCAAGCAAACATGCTTGGACAACCTCAAGCAGATGAATCAACTACCGCAAACAAAGTAATACGCTCTTAATAGTTGGAGCTTATACTACTTTTCAGTTATCTAAATACTCAAGCAACATTTTATAAGGAAATCAGGACTCTAAAAAGTATCAATTAAGTTATTAAGGATCGGCAACTAAATCAAAAAAACTAACAGTAAACAAGTAGATCTAAGGCTAAAACCGATAAGCAACACTTCTAAAAATCAATCAAAGTTCAAGTCAAAATGAAGTAAAACAACAGATCTAAGTTATCCTGAACCAAAAAAACTGAAAAAAATACCAAAAAATCACAAAAATTAAGCTATTTGAAGTTCATAGAACAGATCGATTACCTGCAGCACCAGTAACGAGAACGCGAACTGGATCTTTGGCCATTTTTGTTGAAGATCTAGAAGTTAACCAGAGCGATGAAAACTATGATCGAAGAAGTGAAAATGAGAGTGAGTTTGGGCAACGAGAAGACTGCAGCGATATTTATTGGCTCAAAACTAGTGGTCAGTACGACGTCGTTGTGACTATTGGATTCGTCAGCATTTGTTTTTAGGAAGGAAATGACAATATTAGTCAATTATCTTTAGGGGTACATTCAAAATTCAAATACATGATTTTGCTATATTTGACAAAACTTTTCATTTTAGTTCGTCGAAAAAGATTCATACATTTTCTTTTTTGAATAATATATGATGATATTATCAACATTTGTTCATGTTGAATTTCATGTATTTAATAAAAAATGTACCTTTTTAAAGTTAGTTTTAAAATCTCGTGAAGTCTTTTCATATTTTTAAACTTCGTATTCAGATAAATTATATTTCATAAATTCAGGTGAAGAGAGTACTACTTATATTTGATTAAAATACCATTTTGAATGTTTTTTTTTTCTTTTGATAATAAGAAACTTATTCATCCGAATTAAAAGCCTGCAAGCTATTGCATGAGAGCAGAGGATTACCGCGCACTCAAAGAGTAGTAGTGGCTACGGACTATCAAATATAAAGGATATTTTTGGAATGATAATTATTGTGAAGATAGCCTCGGGTTGTGAGATTTTTGAAATTGTGGTGTAGGAAGAAAGTAACTGTCATTTTTTCTAACAACAAAAGGGCTGGTCCATGCCTGAGGCCTACGTGTTATCAAACAAGTCAAAATGTTTTTTTTTTAGTGACTTTTCAAGAACGAAAGAGAGGGTGTCTCATGTTGGCCTTTAGAAATATAGTTAAAAAAATAAATATATTAAGAGAAATAAACGTAATATTATAAATTTATGAGAAATATCAATGTAACGAGACCAAATTGGCATGGCATAATACACATAGGACGTCACGTATGATACAAAATTGTCATGTAGGATGTCATGTAGGAGACATGTGTCTACTTGTTTAATTTTATACAAGTTTAAGTGTCTATTTGTACACGCTCAAAGTTGGAGGTCATAATTGTCAACTGACGCCAAGTTAAGGGTCATGTTTATGTATTATGCCTAAATTTATTTATGAGAAATGTCAATATAACGAGACCAAACCTGAAAAGAGGTCTCTAAGTGCATCAATTATTTACTTATTTTAACAACAATTCTGAGCAATAACACAAGCTAATAAAGTTTGAAATTGATATCCAATCAGAATATTGAATTCATTATAAAATATCATATCGTCCCTATAGTCGTTTGAAAGAATATAGTTTATAAATTTCATCAATTCTTTAATTTGTTAAGTCATGTTTTAAACTCAAACTAATTAATTGCTCAAACTCAAATCTTGAGCCGAAAGTTGAATTATTTTTGTAGCTATATGAAAAAGAAATAAAATGGTCCTATATGAATAAAAGAATAAAATGGTCCTATTGAAGGTTTGGAACAGAACATAAATAAAGTAATCAAAAAGTGAAGGATAACAATAATTTTGTGTTGGATTGTTACGTCTTTCTCTATTTTTAATCAAAGGTTTTAAATTCGACTAGTGAATATAAATTCATTTTTGCTGCCCAACTAAATACGTTTGCATATATGTTCCAATGAACTGGATAAATGTAACTATTGCACCTGATGGTAGTCTTAGTCATGAAGTATCCAACAACAACATATTTAAATTTCGGTGTAATCTCTTAAGTTGAGTCAGAGTCTTGTTCTGACATTGCTAACACTGCAACTTTTTTATTCGGAGTCAATATCTGAATTAGATATCCACAAATTTCTTCAGGCAGGTAAACGATCACAACTACCCAAAGAACTAGAGGTCATATATGGTTGCATCCAAAGCAGAGCTAGAGGATCTAGCCAAGTCTTGTTCTGGCTCGGAGCTTGACAAGAAACAATCTGAATCTCGTATCCTAAATTTTTTTGTTTTTGTTTATTGATGTATTAAGAACTATCTAGATGACCATTCCACATCAGAATGTATAAAGACTCCCCTAAACTTAGCGCGTTTTATTCAAATCTCTCTTAAAACTTATACATGATCCTAATTATACCAATTAGTGCCAGCTATAGGTTAAGGGGATCTGATGTTTCCCCTGCAATTATACCAATTAGTACCAACTCTAATTTCAAGTAAGTATATCAAAAACTTGGAAATTAAATGATCTAAAAGAAAAGTACAAGTTTTATCATATTCATTTATTCGTAACGACCAATAAAGAAAATCAATGTTTACTACAATACAATTTTTGAAATTAAAAATATAACATAAAAAACAAATACCACACAACCTAAATTTCTTATCCACACTTTAATTACTCTATCACACCAAATCAAAGAGAAAATCAATTAACAAGCAAGATTTGCTCAGTGAATGAACACCTTCATCGTCAGATTTCAAGTCATGCTGAAGAATAAGTGAAAACACTATTGATCCTCCAGATATAGTGTGACTTAAAAAAAAGAAGATGAGAAAATCAATTCAATTTCTTTTTTCCCCCTTAAAAATTGGGAAGTAAGGAATTGAACAAAAAATCAAAACTTATACTTCAATTTTTGAAATATTCCAATAATAATTTTGACCAAAAATATTATATTTAAACACCTCTAGCCAACATTTCTTGAAAATCAAGAATTGATTGTTGTCTTTCAAGCTCCATATCTTCACGAACCTTAGATATAAATTCTTCAGCTCTTTTATCCACTCCATTTATATGTGGCATTGAAGGAGTTCTCCATTCATCAATAATATTAATATTATCACTTGTTCTATAATTACTAATACAACTACTCTCAATAATTGCCTTACCTTTTTTCAATGCAATATTTACCTCAATACCCTTCATAATAACCTCTTTCTCTTCTTGATCCAATTTGTTTCTACAATTAACATTACCACCACTACTCGAAGCAACGAATTCTTCCGTCTGAGGTGCAGATATCTTAACGTTATGATTTTGACATGCTGGTTGTTTCAGTATAGGTTCGGGGAAAAGTTGGTCCACATATATAGGTGAAGTATTTTTATGACATTGTTGGTATTGGTAGTAATTATGGTAAAATTTACGATGAGTACGTGGTGGTGATGAAGAACGATGGATCAACGAGTAGAATTTTCGAGTAATAATAGGGGAAATGTAGTTGTAAGCTCTAATACAAAGGTTTTTGGAACTTTTGTAAGCTTTTGAAAGGTTGAGTTTGTGTAATCTTGATTGTAATTTGTTGGTGAAGCTTTTCCATGTTTTTTTAGTTGGTAGAATAAGCTTTTTTCCTAAGTTGAAATTTGACATTCAATTTAAGATTTTGAGTGGAAATTAAATGGTTTGAGAAGAAGATGGATTGATTTTTGAGAGGAAGAGAAGTTGAAGATTTGGATTTTATTTTGGAGTGATTGTGTGTGTGTGTGTGTAAATGTATGACATAAAATGGTAGGCTGGATGGTTCCTTGAAACTTTTGCTCATGTCTCATTCTTTTCTTCACATGATTTCTTTTGTCATCTTTTTGGTGTTTTTTCTAAGAAAGGAATCAAACACTATAGACTGGAAACCTAAATATTGGGTATGTTTTGGTAGGATGAAATTTTTGAAAAATATTTTCTTTGAAAAAAATATAAGTTCCTTAAAAATGAGGAATATGTCTGCCTTAATAGAAGTAGGAAAAATAAGCTCTATAAATGTTTATTGTATCATCGCCCCCTAACCCTTATCATTGCCACCTTCGGGGGGGGGGGGGGGGGGGGACCTTATAGTATTTTGTTAGATTACATATAAAAATTTTATGATAAAGTTTTTTTTTTACTTATTTACCGAATATACTAGAAAATAAGTAAAAAATTAATTTGTTTTCAAGAACTTATTTTTCATGAAAAATATTTTCCATCGTACGAAAACACACCATGTAGAGAAAGCAAAAGATGTCCTTTTTTAAAAAAAAGAAGTATGTTTAGGTATATCTAACTTTCGATTTTGTCTTTGAAGTTCATGGCTGGAGAAATCTTTAGTCTTAAGTTTGTGCTTTAATTTATTTAGAAAATTAAAAAAAATATTAAGAAAAAGAGAAAGAAAAAGTGTAAATTGATTAGGAGGTTGTAGTGGATTTCTTTGGTGGCAGTGTCAATGAGTTGGGCACTTTTTGCCCCCCAACAAAATGCCTCTTTCGCTAAGGTGCACATTGAAGCTGGTTGTATATATTAAAGATATCGTGTTTGAGTCTTGAATATTAAAAAAATCGAGATGATTGATAATTTGTTATGTGTCCACATCTTAGTAATTAAATTTGTGTACAAGATGCATGTGACAATTTAATTCCTACTTGTAAAGATGAGAATAGTACAATATGTGCAAGTCTGGTCTAGTGTGGCCCTTAGCTCATGATGAGTTGCTCATCTAAACTCTATTTTCTTGGCTCTTTTTCCGTGAAGGTTTTGAGATATGTGATCACATGCTTTCTCTAGATCTAATGTCTGTATATCTGTTCCGTTCTTCTTTGATGAAATAGATATTATATTATAGAAGAGGTTAGAAAGGAGCAACTTCGCTAAAGATATATGGTCTATGTATGCGCAAACAGTTTTAGTCGATACTATTTAATCAAGGACCTCGTTAAGTAAGATGAGAGCCAATACAAAGCTAACAAACTAGCTTTCATAAACGTGTTCTTTCATCCTCTTTGTCTATGACCTATGTTAATTGGTCTTATTTGAATGAATTGCATTTCATTTTTCCTTGTTAAGAGAAAAGATGCTTCATAATTATTGTCCATCAATTATATAAGAAGTCTTTTATGTGTCTATAGATCAAACACTAATAATATACCTTACTTCCCCATGAAGAATTTGCATTATTACCTAACTTGGCCATCAATTCAAATGGTCCCCAATTTTCTTTGTTCTTAAGACACTATAATAAATGAAATTAGCTACGAAAGTAATTTCAAGCAAATGCATCATTAAAATGCTCCTAGCTAAATGAAATAAATATACTTCAAACAGGGACAAAGCTAATAATTTGCATGAGTTTGCATGCAGATTCGATCGAACTCAATAAATTTTGCTCAAATAAAACTCATAAGTTGAAATCCTAGCTTCGTCTCTGACTTCAGATTAACTCAAAACAAACAATAGCTCATTTAAAGAGTCACCACTCTAACTCATTTATTCTCATAATAACTTCATCAAAAACTCATTTACTCACATAAACTTTACGTTCTTGACTACTATTAATATTATTATTCAAAACACAAACTTAATTAATTAGACTTTTAAAAAAGCCTCAACAGCAGTCAACGCATACTCCATTGCCCTGCTAGTTGAATATCCCGTTGACTTTCTTCCAGCAAAAACACAAGTTTCTTCCCTATTATACTTCAAGCTCCTAGCTTCTTGCCTGGAAATTTGATAAGAGTTCATCAACACTTCCTCTGGCATGGCCCGGATAGCCGATAAACGCCCTGCTAACGGGCTTGTCATCGCTTGATCGTTGGTCTTGAACGCGATGTACTCGAGTCCTTGGTCACCTGCCTTTTTCATTATCGCGAAATTTTGTGGCACGACTATCATTTGTCCCTCCCTGACCTCATCGTCGAAGACAGAGTTACCAGTGTCCCCGACTACCTGAATCCGTCCCGTCCCTCGGATGATGTAGATGATGCTGTGGGCGTTCAGGTTCCAGTATGGTGCCATTACTGCATTCTGTAAAACTCAAATGGCATATATTGAGTTTTAATAAGAGTCTGAATTAAAAGGCATAATACATAAACATGACATTTTATTTGGCTTCAACGGATAACTTTGCCCTCCAACTTTGAATGTGCACAAGTGGACACTTAAACTTGTATAAAATTGAACAAGTAAACACACGTGTCTTACATGACATAATACACGTAGAACGCCACGTAGGACATAAAATTTCCATGTAGGGTGCCATATAGGACGAATGTGTCTTTTTGTTCAATTTTATACAAGTTTGAGTGTCTACTTATACAGACCCAAAGTTAAAGGTCATGTATTGTTAGTGAACTACATACATGTTCCACTAATTTTGACTAGAAATGTATATCTTAAATGAGCCAAATCAACTCTGAATAAACACCATCAAATAATGTGGTGCAGCGAATAATGTTACTCTCCTTAACTAGAAATTTCAATTTCAAGTCTTGGATATGGAAAAATCATTGATAGCAAGTGTTTCACACTTGAATTAATTTGACTTCAATATAGATACCGAATATAGAAACGAAAAATATTCTCAATAAATGACTTGCCTGGTACATGACTCCTTTCTCAGCACTGAGTTGTAGCCAATTGAGGATTGGAAGCTTATGGCTATTGAGGGTGCTGACGCGTCCTCCACGTGGATTGTACACATCAGCACGGGACGGGCTGCCCAAGTTCTCTCTTAACCTCATAGCACAAATAGTTTCTTCAAGCCCATTGGGCTGTGATCCTTTTCCGGGCCTGTGTGATTGCTCTTCTTCTTCGAATTCCGGGCTGAGAACTTCAAAGTTCTCGGCCCGAATAATTTGTCCCCTTTGATCTTCTCGGCCCTGTAAGTTCTTGGCCAAATTGCGATCCACATTGAAAACCTCAGCAAGGATATCTAGATCGAATCCATCGAATAGGTTGCCCGATTGTTGTTGTTGTGGTTGTTCACCTTGTTCATGTTCTTTTCGACTTCGGATTTCTTCTTCATACCTACTTCCACTTAGTCCTTTGGGATTTGGATTTCCCGCTAGGAAGAAATGCTGTAAAAATATTAAAACTATATTGTTAATGCCACAGATTAACTTAAAAAAAAATTATACAAATTTTGCTATAACAAGTACAAATTTAATATTTTAACATAACATTATAAGTGCGCACTATACATGTGTGTTTATTCTTCCTTCCTCTGGTTCTTCTCGTCTAGATCTCTGTATATATGCGTTGAGGAGTTATATCTCCTAGTAGTAAAATTTTTGTGTAAGATAGTTCAAACTTAACCCGGCCCAATTATTTTGCCAATAAGCGACGATATGTTTAAATCTATCATGTCGCTAGCTAGTAACTCTAAATTAGCTAGCGACTTGACATATTTAATATCACAAACTTCAAAAAGGTCAGACAAATGATCTGACTTTATAAATATTTTTTATGAAATAAACGCGTACTGTAGTAACAAAATTACAAGTATTCTTATTTCTTACCCTGAATTGGAGATCGAGTTGGTTAACAGGGTTGCTAACATCAAGCAAGGCGACAGTAACAAGACGTTCTTGTCCATTGTTATAAAACCAAAGTGTGATTCCGGCGGGCAATGCAAGTACATCGCCTTGTCGGAATTGCCTGACTTTCTGATGGCGATCACCGCCTTTTCGGTATTGACTTCCTCCCTCTGATCTGCCTTGTTCTCCTCTCATGCTTTTCTCTCTTTGTGGTGATTCAAATGTTTCAGCACATCCTGGTATCACTGTCCCCAAAATTCCACTTCCTACATTTCATCCAAAAAAAAATAATAATTAATGGAACGTATGTTCAGTGACACATAAAATGAGACGCTCAACTTTAAGATTGTGAATTCGAATAGAGCAGAAAAGAAGGCAAACCTTGGACAATGTAGAGGAGTTGAGGTGCATTATTGTAATGAGGCAATAACAACCCGTTAGGTTGAATATTATTTCTCACAGCAGCAACTCCGGCGCATTCAAATTCCTCCGAGTTCCTATCCCAGAACTCGGTGGTCCCAGCCTCCGAGTTAAACTTATAAGTCGGTTCTCGAGCATTAAGGCTCGAGATCCGACAATCAGTTTTAGCTCGGCCGCGCCGGTGTTGCTGCTGGTATTGAAGCTTTTGCCATAAGAAACTTTGTTGTTGCTCTATTTGAGAGAAACAACAATTAAAAAGAAGAAATAAACATAGGCTTATTTTTATTATTTCCATAATTTTTAGTAGTGGTGATTGTTGTTGGTGTTGTGTGAAGAAATTTGGGATTTTGGGGTTTGGTATTTGTAGGAGAAGAAGGGGTGATTTGGATATGACACGTAAAATGTTGTGGTGAGACATTTGTCTTTGAGTTTTTTTGCATGGACATGCATTAATTTTACTATAAAGTTTGTTGACACCTAGCTAATAAGTTAATAATTTGATATGTGGCGAATATTTTCTGAAGAAAGTTGGTGAATTTGTGTTTGTGTTTGCATGGATTCTTGTTTTGATATAGAGCACACCGAAGGAGATGAGTTGTGTACTTGTATTCTACCAATTTTTTATTCCTTCGGGGTCATTTTACTTGTCATCCTTACTTAAAATAGATGGTACGTTCAAAATAGTTGTTATTTTAGAAAATTTAGATACTCTCGT